TCTTCTTCTTGAAGACTATCTCCATCGCCCATTTGTACTGCTGCCAATCCTTCCCATCCCAGTTCTTTGGGACACCGTCGTTCGTGTACTTTAATGGTCCTGACATCTTAGATTACGTTAGTGAGCAAAATCCGAAAGTCTTTTGGGCTCAGAACCCTCTTGGATAATGCACTTGATCCGTATGCCCTAGGAACACTTTCACCAGTCCACTGAAAGGTAAAAGAAAGTATGATTAGATCGTTAGCTTCACTACTCCTCAGCTCAACGTTCTTCTGCGACCATGCAGTCGCTTCTCATGCATTGGCCTGGCATCATTTGTCTTCACTATACTGCACAGCACCTTTGTGCTCAACTCAGTTGTGCCAGGTCCCGTAGTTCGACCATCCGTCTTGTACTTCACGTTGACTCTGGTCCTAGATATGAATCTGGATTCCAACAAATTGCCCAGGCGTCTAGTGGTGTAGACGGCTTCGCTGTTGAGGACAAGGAAAAATTGGTCGTCGTCCAAGGAAATTGCTACGTGCGGAAGCTGATCCAGGCAAAATGCGAGGAAGAGGGGCTGACGTACTCCTAGCACCAATGGAAAAGCTTCTGGAGCTACTTCAATCCGCAATGGGTGCAACGAAACAGCCCTGACCTGTAGAAGGTGGATGGGATCAACAAGAAACTCGTTACCCCGAACCAATACCTCCTTGATCGTTTTAACCGAGAGCTAAGCGGCACGTTTGGCCCTTCCAAGCCTCCCTGTGCTTGTTACGGTCATCGAAGTTCTCGCACGCTGCCACATTCCAGCTTTCCATGGCATTCCGTCCAATCGTTAAAAGTCACCACACCGAAGTGAGAAGTACACTCTGTCGAAGAAGGTAGCGCTCGGGAGTACGTAGATTAAATGTAGCTGGAAGGCGTATTCCATAATAGTAAATCTGCTATGATGGTAAAACTGTATTTTAAGTATTGGCATTGATCAATACTACTGGCAATACCACACTGCAGCCATTTACAATACTGCAATACATGCTGCTGGAACGTATGATACTGCAGTTAGTACTGAAGCTCTCACACCAAACCAGCTACATGTTCAACTTACCTATAATCCCCTCGGGCCGTAGTGTAGTGTCTGCGCACGATTCGAAGGAGCGCAGCCCGCGTCAACGTCGAAAAGCCACTGCTTTTGAATATGATATTGCAAAGTGTAGTATTCTCTGCAATACCCTCCCGTACATTTTTATCCATCGCTGACGACCTCAGAGAATCTGTAAATCAGAGGACACATCGTTCACGTTAATAATCGACCGCGTGCACTCATGCATGCACGACAACGACGGCGTGAGTGTGGCAAATGGTGCCAAGCTTTCATGTGGTTCGTTGGCAATTTGTTTGGGTTCTGGTATTGCAAACCAAATACCTCTTCTGAACAGGAACCGAAAAATGGCAACCTCCAGAGCCTGGTGGGTGGCTGGACATGATGCACATCTACGAGATAAGCTTCTTTGGTCGATCGAGATTGGCGTTCCAAATTGGGCGATACGTTCTGTCGCAGTTGGAAGGCTGACGGGGATCAAGGAAGAATACAGCATGGCAAAACAAAATCGTATATCGAGCAATACTACTTGACGTCATAACGCAAGGTGGAATCCTCACTCCGACTGAATGTGTAGCTGAGAGAGCAGGCATGACTTCTGAAAACCGCACAAGGGACTTCAAAGTCCTCTCACAGAAGCTGTAGGCCTTCTGACCGAGGTCGACGCTTTAATGTCAGCTACGCTGCCACTTGTAAGGATCGGTGCATGTGTGCAAGCTGCACAGTCGGCAGGTAAGGTGTGAACAATAGAGAGCGGGCAAGCTCCGGGTAGGCTGTGGCCGAGTGTATTGCGAATTGCAAAGCAAAACGGTTCTGGCGTAAACTTCTCTAACTTGCTAGGTACAAGACGGTCAATTGCTAATACAGAACGATTATTCCAATAAAGAACTTCTCCCGAGTAAAGCGCGAATAACAATAATATTTTCATCTATTTTTTCATCTGGATTTCGAATCTGAAATCGGAAGGCTCGATTGACAAAAGCGAAACCTACCCATCGAGCGGAGTGAGGCGGCCATACTGCAGCTCGGCTTAAACAGGATAAAGAGCCGCATTTGCGGGGCTCTGCTCGGCTTATTGGCTTCATAATTGGTTTTTAAGATCAGTTTCAACGAGTTAATAGTTAATGGTAGTTTAATGAGCAACTTGTGACTGGGCGGTAATAAACAATCTTCTTCGCTTGTCACGTCACCCGGACGAGACCCGCCACACCGACGATGAACTAGATCTGCTGCTCCTACCCGTACAAAATTAGGGAAGGCGGTACAGCGCAGAATTGAGCAAGCCATGCCAAACTAGCAGCAGCAGTAGTACGGAGCAGACAAACTCCGTTCAAAACGGTTCACCCGTTTGCAGTAATAATAATGTAAATGTATAACATTGTGCAGGTTATGCATTCCCGCACATCGACATTTTGGTGACAATCAAGCGGATCATAACACAGAAGGCCGAACATCAAGGGATTTTATTAGGCACGACTATGTGACACCAGACGAGGTCTGGGTGGGGTTTAAGAAAATTGCAAACCTCTAAAATCGAATACCACATTTTACATTAAATGTAAAATGTACATGATTACTTTAATAAATTTTATTAAAGTAATCATGTATTGTTGTAGTGGGATCCGATTGAACCCACTTGCGAGGGAAGCTGGCGCTTCCTTTGACCTCTTGCTTGTATTGTACTCTGCAAAATCCAGAATGAGATAGTTGAGACTCCCTCCAGCTACTCCTACATCATCGTCCAAGTATATGCCTCAAGTCTCCGACCTCTGAGTCTTATTCTACGCCAGCTCCTGCTGGGACCGTCCTCGGGCGCCAGCACAGTGCGTGGTCAGGTCCTGAAGACCGTCGCCCCACTACACCGCCTCGCAAGACTTGACAGCGCACTGTGATGCCGCCAAGCATTGGATTGGTGTCGATGTTGCTCGAAGGTACCAATGTACCAATTACAGGGTACCTTGATCCAACGACATAACCTCTTCAAGTTGAAGTCCAAAAGTTGCTCCAATGTTACAGTTAGCTCGGCATCACTTGCCGCAGCTATGTACTGTTTCACCATCACTGGGATATCCCTGTACAATGTATTGAGCGACTCCCACGAGTCCTCAATTCGCTCTAGACCTTTCCACCCTACCAGTATCTCGTGACACTTCTTCGCTGAGTTCCACCGGTGCTCTTTGAGCTCCGCAACCGTAAGGACGATTCCTTGTGCAGCCACGTGCTCTCGGATCTCCTCCGTTACTTCGAAAGACGCATCTGCGTAGAACTTGAGGCGTGAGGCGTGCACGTCTGCTTCCGCTTCAGTCACTAAGTGCTGTACACGAAAGGAGTGTTCGTCTGTACCAATTACCTGGTACGGGCCTATCCATGTGACCAGTAGCTTGTCGTTGTGTTTTTGGTCCACCCTTGACCTCAAACCGTAGTCACCAACATCGAAGTTCGCCTTTCTGGCTGTTTTCTGTGCCTTCTGATTCCATCTCGTTTGATTCGCCCTTGCTTCCTGCACAACCTTGTGCATCTCTTGCACCCTAGCTTGCAGCGATGCCAACTTCTTCATGATCTGGCTGGAAGTGGTACCGAGCTCAAGAAAAGCGTTGTCTTGGGTGTTAAACCCCAAATTCAAACCGAAGAAGCAGCCGCTAGAACACGGAAAAGCTCCACTGGCGCCTTGTTCCCAAGAGATGGAACCGGGGCATGGTTCAGATTTGATTGAACCACCGGAATGAAATGTGGCCAATCACGAATGTCCGCCTTGGCTTCAAGACACATTGCTCTAAAGACTTGCACTAAGTCCCTATTGAGCCTCTCAATTGATCCATTTGTCCATGGGCTATACGCCACCGTAGATCTCTGTCCACTAGTGAGACGTCTTGCCACTTCAGCCACAACTTTGTTCTTGAAATGACTGCCTTGGTCACTTATCCACACACGAGGTGCCCCATAGCGACTGTGCCAGTCTAGTATCGCCTCTGTAGTTACAGCTGCTGTTGGCACTGCGCACGGCACCAGCTCACAAAAATGAGTCGCATCGTCCTTAAGCACCAACAAGTACTTGTAGTCACCGTAGGAATCACCTAGGGTCACGTAGCCCCAATGTAAAGCTCCGTTTCGTTCATTGCACCGGAATGTATCAGCCCACGGTCGCATCACTACCTTCCCCCCTTTGGCATGCTGGCATAAAAGGCAGCCAGTCAGGAAAGTCTTAACCGTAGCTGAAAGATTCCGTATGAAAAACCTCCGTTTCACCACGTTCAGTAACGCTTCACGACCTCGATGGCCCTGTGCTCCACAGTGAGCGATCACTAGGAGCCGTTGCACAAGCTCGGTTTCGCTAGCCGGGACCCAAATCCGGTCGCTACTGTACAGTAAGCCTTCACGTCTACATGTCAGCCCCTTCGGGCGATCCACGATGTGCCGTTGTTGAGCTACACGCAGTTCATCGACTGTTGGCCACGCAAAATTTCCATCACTAAATGGCCGAATCGGCACCGGGGTGGCGTATGTCCTACCGACAGGTTCGTCACTGCGTTTTTCGTCACGTTGGCGCCGCAAGGTGATATGCTTCACTGTAACACTGGGTAAAGGGCGTGTTCCTGCCCATCGAGATACCATATCAGCCCAAGTGTTGTGTGTCCCTTCAATATGTTCGATAGTGTAGCGATACTCCATCAACTTCATTGACCATCTCAGCAGTTTTCCACGAGCATGTTCTTTCACTTCACGACCTGGGGCAAAGACATGTATCAGGTTGCGAAGGTCGCAATACATGCGAAATCCACGCGGCCGTAGCAACAGATAGCTGAGCTTGTCACAAGCCATGATAATTGGGTAGGCTTCTTTCTCTATGACACTCCAATTCTTTTGTGCACCAGTGAAAGTACCACCAAGACAGATAAGCAGCTCGTGCTGCTGGTCCTGGATGTCTGCATCACTTTTCCAACTGGGCACTTGCGATACAATCACTGACCATCCAATGTCTGAGGCATCCGTCAGCAGGACCATCTCGCTGTCTGGCTTTGGGAACGCCAGGGTAGCCGTGTCAGCCAGAGCCTGCTTCACCGCATCATACGCCTCGCATTCCTGCTCGGTAAGTGTGATCGGTATACCCGCTGCCACTCGCTTGGTCCGCCGGGAAGCCTGAGTCATTGCCTTATTCAGTGTGTCCTGCAGTGGACGTGCCAGTCGGGCGTAGTCCACAATGATGTCTCTCATCCAGTTCGTAGAACAGAGAAACTGCTGAAGTTCACCAGCGTTCGACGGTTTGGGCATGCTACGTAGAGCTTTTATTCGCTCAGGGTCATGCTTCACACCTTCACCATCTATCAACTTTCCACACCATTTTACTTCACGCTTGTACACGCAGGACTTGGCTACACTTAGCTTGAAACCGAATTTCGCCGTGAGCTGTAGCAGTTCCTGCAATTTGTCGAGGTACGTGTCGATATCCGCAGCATACAGCAGTAGGTCATCTATCCAGACTAGCAGGTGCTTGTATAACAGCGCCGCAAAGCATCTCTCGATCGTTGACTGAAAATACAAGGCTGCGTCAGCACCTCCTTGCGGAACTCTAGTTGGGGTGTGGATCTTCCTGTGGGTCATATAGGACAGCAGTTCATGGCACTCCTTGACGAGGGGTAGCTGCCAGTAACCTTTAATGAAGTCGAACAGTCCAAAGTGTCTGCTACCTCTAACTTTCTCCAAATCCACGTGAAGGTTTGGCATCAGACCTGCTATAACCTCTGTCTGAGCGTTAAAGGGTTTGTAGTCGACAGTCTGGCGAAAACCACCATCACCACGCTTGCGCAGTGGTAAAGCAGCACAGGCCCACCGACTGGTGGGGTTCTCGTACACCCACCCCAGTTTGACGAGCATGTCGTTGAACGACTCGAGGAACGCCTGGTATTCCGGCGCATACTTGCGAGCCTTCGCCTTGTATGGTCGACAGCCCGTCTTCATCTTAATTTTCATCGGCTTGACCTTTGCAGGGGGGGGATCATTGCCGAGTACGAGTCTCCAGACATCGTACGCATGCACAATTGTGCGCAACCGCTCGAGTTTATCAGCGGGAAAACCTTCCTCCAAAGCTCGCTGGCACATTGCCTCAGCAACGACTCGGATGTCCTCAGCGTCGTTGCCTCCTGCCATCACATCAGGCGTTTCTTCGTCATCATCTCCATCATTGCAGTTTGGTGTTGCCAATAGCTCCAACTGTCTCTCGACGTCAATGCCCAGACACTTAAGCACATCATCTCCAAGTAGAAATTCATCATCCTTATTTTTCAGTATCAGACACGGCACAGGTTTATGGATATTAACAGGTCCCGCTGCTGTCATGAGCGACAGCTTCAACTTTGTCGTCTCATGAGCCCACGTCTTCTCACCGCCAGGCAGTCTGCACTCGATCGGGTTTCCTAACCGCTCAACCTCACACTTCACACCTTGTTCTTTAATTTTCTTTAAAGTCGTGGAGCTGATACACGATGTCTCTGCTTCAGAGTCCGCACAATATTCCACATCGACAACGCCACCGACACGTAGAAATCGGGTTTGTCCCGCCCGACCAGGTAAACACTCGCTAATCCTTCTTAGGTTTACGTTTCCTTTCCTTTTTTCGGCTTCCTGGTAGCGGCAGCGCCGTCTTTGGCCTTTTCGGGGCATTCGACTTGCCGGTGCTGACCACCACAAGTCCAGCAACCTCCTTTTGGCCCGGGATCAATCTTCTCCGATTTGGTCCGAAATATCCGCGGTGCAGCCTGAGTTCCAGGTTCGCGAACGACTCGCTTATCGAGTCTAGCTATTTTCGATGGTCGTGTGGCTGCTGATTGCTTCAATTCCACCGCCTGAGAACGCCTTTTTTCTTGACAAAGCTTTGACCTCACGGTCTATCTCCAAGGCCTTCTCACTCACAATCTTGAACAGTACCGACACGTTGGACTTAGCACCCGGAAATCTGAAGTCAATCTCGTTCTTCACTCGATTCTTCAGTTCTCCAGGCAGGCTATTCAATAGCACCTTGCACTTCTTCTTAGTACCTTCCTCATCCGAGAACAAAGTAGCTAATCCATTAATTCTCACAATCGTGTTGCACAGGTGGAAGTAGTCCAAAACTCGTGCATCGATATCCGACTTGGTTGTTGACATCACTAACTGGTCTTGGAACAGCTCGTCAATGTTTGGTAGAGCTTTGTTTTTGAAGCTTCGTACTGTATCCATGACCCAGTTCCAGATGAACTCATCGGTTAGTTCATCTTTTGTCTTCTCCCATTTTGTCTCACACAACGTCTCGAGGAAGCTGTCGTCGAGCGAGTTCTTCACAGAACGCATGACGGACTTCAAGTCTTCTCCTGACGAATCACAGCGCGCCCTCATGATCGCTTCGTACTCCAGACGTAGATCTATCCATTGGGTAAGCGCTTCATGCGAGATATCTTCCACCTTCGGTGCCACAGTGACCGCAAAGATCGGATGGGCCACCGTGGGGTAGTCCGAATCCAGGTTCGCAGTCCTCGACATTGATCCAGTGCTTGACCTATTAGGAGCTGGTGGAGCTCCAGATCGTCGTGGCATGCTTTCGCCTACGTTGCGCGCGGGTTTCTTGCCCTTGCTCTGCGTTGGCTTAGCTTGACCCGCTTGTTCCGTTGAGGCACCGACCGTTGTCCTTGGCCGTAGTGCTCGACTCGTGCTGGTGGTCTGCAGGGTCGGTCCGGCAGCACCCACAATCTGCTGCGTCGCTGCTGCAGCAGCGTCAGCGGCTGCACTCGTCGTAGTTGCTTCGTTGTTCATGTCGTTTCCTTCGGAAACTAAAGTTAACTTTGTAGTGGGATCCGATTGGACACACTTGCGAGGGAAGCTGGCGCTTCTTTTGACCTCTTGCTTGTATTGTACTCTGCAAAATCCAGAATGAGATAGTTGAGGCTCCCTCCAGCTACTCCTACATCATCGTCTAAGTATATGCCTCAAGTCTCCGACCTCTGAGTCTTATTCTATACCAGCTCCTGCTGGGACCGTTCTCGGCCGCCAGCACAGTGCGTGGTCAGGTCCTAAAGACCGTCGCCCCACTACAATTGTACCATATGCTTGGCACCAAACGAGCAGCTATGGAAACGGCAACGGCGCCACATAAATCAGGAGCGGGGGGGGGCGAGGACCCCCTCCCCCACCACCACCACGGGAGGCATCGCGGTCTATAGAACTTTACACTACTGCATATGCTGATCAACAATGTCAATTTCAACCTGACCGACTCGACAATCTAGTAGATCTAACTCTACAAGTCGCTCTGCTAAGGTATCACACGTGCTGGTAAACTCAGAATCTAATGAGCTCTCTGCTGCCACAATGGATAAATCATTCGCAATAATAGCCGAGCTCGTACATTCCCAGGCGCTTGAAACTCACCCAATCACGTTCTTGCGGCCAAGAGGTGTCAATTTTAACCTGACCGATTCGACAATATAGTAGATCTAATTCTACAAGTCGCTCTGCTAAGGTATCACACGTGCTGGCAACCTCAGAATCTAATGAGCTCTCTGCTGCCACAATGGATAAATCATTCGCAATTATAGCCAAGCTCGTACGCTCCTAGGCGCTTGAAACTCACCCAATCACGTTCTTGCGGTCAAGAGGTGTCAGCTTAGGCCCTGGTCGAAGTAGAAAAAAACCGAAACTCGTTCTGAAAATTCTGCCTTTTGATTGGCTGAGAGCAGAGCGACTCTCGGTACGCGTTCCGAGTTTATACCGTTCTGTACAGGGTTCTCAGAACACCTTGTGGAGGTGCTCTGAAGTCGGAACGAGTTTGCTGTCTCTGCCACAGTATATTCCGCTCCACGTGCCCACTCTGTGTTTTGCTCTCTTGGCTCACACATTATCAGGCAGCAAGTCAGCTTGTCCAACCATGGACCACAAATCAAAGCTAGCGGTTCTCTGCGTTTTACAGTGCGTCCGTGCAACGGTTACGGCTCTCTGCAGCGACCGTCGTCGTATCGGTGGATTGCCTCGTAGGAACACCAACACCTTTTCAGCTACGACTTTTGAGCGGGCATTGACGTGCAAGAATACGAAGTGGTTTAATGTGAAGATGCGCTGCGACAAGCACACCTTTCTTGCCGTAGTGGCCCTTGTCCGTCTGAGCTGGAAAAGTCACATTCATCATACCGTAAAGGTTGACATTACGAGACGAGTTGCTGTGACGATGATATATCTTTCCTCCGGTGGAACAATCTATAGCGCAGCCACTGTGATGGGCATGTCAAAATCAAGCGCTGTAGTGTATGTAAATCAAGTTTTAACTGTACTTGTTCGGATGGCTAAGGACGAAATCAAGCTGCCTATAACGCAAGCGGAGATTGAGGATATCCAATACGGATTCGAGATGATAGCCGGCTTTCCAGATGTAATTGGAGCAGTGGACGGCACCTTGCTGCGCATCTCCCGCCCTTCCGAACATGAAAGATGGTACTGCAGGAAAATTTTTCCTGCAGTGAATATGCAGGCCGTCGTAAACCACAAAATGCGGTTCAGATCGTACTGCATCCGGGCGGGGTCCATCAACGATCAAGCGCTGTGAAACCAATCCGGTCTACGTAACAGAGCTGTTGTTCCTAGTGGCATGCACCTTCTTGGTGATGCTGGATACAAAATATTCCGTCATATACTCACTCCGTTCGATGAAGAAGAAGCTGTTCAAAATCCTAAAAGGAGGCGCTACAACTATAAACTATCTCAGACGCGTATTATCGTTGAGCGTGCTTTTGGCATCCTGACGAATCGGTACCGTATCCTCCGTGGGAAGATCGAGCAGAAATCACCGACGCGTGTCACGAAGGTTATTGTGGGATGTTTAGTTTTGCACAATTTGATGATCGAATTACAGGACACTTATGCGATACAAGGTGCAGATCCAGACCGCGCCCCACCGGGATTGCTATCTTTTTTGTCGTCGGAGGATGAACTGAGCCACATCCAAGGTTTGTCCAAACAAAAGGAGCTAATAGAATATCTTTGGGCTGATTAAAACATAACTGAATTTCTTTCTTTGATACGTGATTTCAAATTATCTGGATCAAGTACATCCATAGTTGAATACGAAGGGGCGATTCGCCAACCAGGCTCTGATTTCACGATGTGAGCTTCGTAACAAGGTGCTCGAGTAGTGTCAATTGACGTGTCTGCAGCTCGCGCGATGCTTCTTGCGCTTGCTTGAGATCCTGCAGCACTTCCACCAACTTTACGTCCATACTCATCGATGCCGCTATCGATGTCATACCCTCTTTTATAACAGCAGCCAAATTTTTAATCGGTGTCGAATTTTTCTGTAGTCTGTCGTGGGATGAGAACGACTGCTCTTCGTCACCACTGTCGGAGTCATTGCCAGCATCGGCCAATGTGGTCCCTCCAATTCCACTTCGGCCGCCAAAAGCGCTGTTCAAAATCCCCCAGATTTCACTGTCGTCTTCACGACCATTGTTGCCAGTGTCACTGCGAGCCGATTTTCCTTGTCGATACTCACACTTTAACTTCTTGTACTTGCTC